ATTTACAGCCACTCCTGTGACAGCCTGTGATTGCAAATAGACTTCTAGAAAGTTAGGTTGTCTAACTCTTGGAGTACTGCACTGCTTCAGTTCTCACTTTTCAATTTAAAAATCTGTATTTAGCAGATAAGTTATATTTCTTTAGTGTTTTTAATATTAATTTTGCCCATTAAAGTTATTACAATGGGCTCTGATCTGTCTGGTGGAATAAGAAATTTATTAGTTTAAAACTTCTCTTTCATTTAGAAGCAATTAGGACCTCTGTCATGGATTTCAGTGAGGTCATAATGCTGTTCTTTTAGCATGTTCATACAACTCTTGTGAGAAGTATGGTATAACATTTTAAGTGTCATCTGTTCGGAAATGTGCTAATTAGACACACTAGCAGATTTCTCTGGGCCTTCCTGAGTGCTTTTGAAAGTCCAGTTTTGAGAGGATGATGCCAGAAGCTGTGGAGTCTTCATATGGGGGTGGCTTCTCTTTTGTAGCTTTCAAGTGGAAGGAGGGAAGCAAATATTTGACTTTCTGGCTTTGCCAAGATAGAACCTCTGGAAAGAAAATTTGAGGTTTTGCTAGTTAAGTTGCAGTATGAGTGTTATGATGTCTGAGAGGTCCTGGGTGTGAGTAGAAGGTAGTAGAGCCAGTGGGATATAGGGAGACATGATGCTGAGCAGGAATAGAAGGGATATGAGGTCTGGTAGGAGGCAGATCCTTGATGACACACTGCAGTTTGCTATTAGAGAGCATCAAGAGTGTTACTATCTAAATGGGAACAGCAGCAATGAAACACCCTTTGCTTCCTCACTCTTGTGTTCTGTGATTAAGTTTTCAACCCTGTCATTGTTGCCCTGCAGGTTGGCCTGCTGAAGGCATGAAATTCCTCTAGGGGGTTCTTCTGTAGGACTGAATTTATCAACTCTTTGCCTCCCCCACACCAGTCTTATCTTTCTCTCTCCCCCCTAGCTTCCATTTCCAGGCCTCCTCCTTCCTGTTTCTATACTCTCTCACACTGTTGCTCTTGTCTATTTGGAAACCTATAGTGGGAAACATTTTCTGTTAATTTTTAAAGAAAAAGAAAAATGACATTCTTAAAGCATACTCTCGGTTATGCATTATCTGTTTTTTCCTCTAAAGAGTTTCTTGGGTCTATAACCTTAGCTATGTTTATCTTAATTTTTTGGTCTTGTTTGCTTTAGGGTTTTTTGAGTGTTGTAAACTTCTAGGCAATCTTTTAAGTGGGATAAAAAGAATTCACAAGCTGCATCATCTAACTGCTGATATTATACAGAAAACGAAACCACTGGACTCATGAGAAAAACAATTGGGTCTGTGGCTAGTAAATTGAATAAAATTGATTTAGATAAGAATCTGCTCGAGATGAAAAAATAATCTCTGTCTTGTTCCACTTTATTATAATTGTATCAGTAAGCTAACTAGTTAATTTGGAGGGAATTTAAATGGATTTAGATAGGGATTTTTGAAAGTAGGAAAGATCTTGCTTTTCTTCTCCAGAGGTAGGCGTAGGATGCTGAGATCAGAAAGTTCAAAGCATTGAAAACTGCAGCATTCAGAATAAAGCAGTTTCGGTCATTAAAAAGTATTTCCTTGGGGTTTATTATTCACTGTAAAGTATGAAATGATTTTTCAAAATGCTGGTTTTCTTAATTATCACATATTATGTCAAACAGTTCTTCTGTAGATTTCATAGTAGATTATTCATTGTTATGCATTGTTATGCATTTTATTACTTAAATAATATAATGCCAAGAATTTTAGTAAACTGCAATATACTTCCATTAAGACCTATACTTTTAAAGGACTTTACATAGATAATGATGTTGATTAACAAAAAGAAATACAAAGTTCAACACAGTTATATTTATTTTCAAACAAATGTATCTTAATATTCTAAGTGAAGTATCAACTTATTTAGGTGTCCAGGTGAAAATGTGTACTCTTTCTGTATCTCTGCACATTGGTATAATTTACTTTAGGAAACAAAATAATCTAAAGAATTAATTTATTCTTTAATTAATTAATTTACTAACCTCAGTCACCATTAAATTAATTCACTAATAGCACTTTTGTCAAAAAAAAAAAATCCTCAAAGCAGTTAAGCCATGGAAGGAGGTGAATATAGGCACCAAAAATAATATACTCTATAAATTTTTCTGTATTTCTTAACCACTGTTGTGACAGTTTGTGATTGAAAATAGTTCTAGATAGTCAGCTTTTCTAGCTTCAGGATTATTGATTTTCTTTAGCTTTTTAGGTTATTTAAAATTTATGAAAAATCTGTACAAGGCTTAGGTGCAGCAGTATCTTCCATAATTTCAAACTGCTTATATGGAGAATGCCTGAAAGGATCAAACTCCTAGTTGATCTTCAGCAACAATATGGTGTATTAGTGGGTTAAATTATCATTATGATTAGCACCCACTAACGCTAAGTATTGTGATGAATATCACTCTGGTGAAATAATGTTTTCATTTCAGAATTCTTACAATATTCCTAATATTCTGTCAGCATTTCCCCCTAAATTTCCCCCTAAACCCTAAATTTCATGTTTGGAGTACTTTTATCTTCATAGGAAAAAATTGATAATAAACTGCCCTGGTGGAAATCTCTACCCAACCTTCATCCAACCTTCACTCTAGCCAACCTTCACCTACAAATGTTTCTAAAATATAGTTATCATGACCAAGACTCTACTGTGACACAAAACAAAACTGATATAGGAGGTAAAGAAAAAATATAAATAGGATGGGAATTTTACCATCATTCTTTTAACATTGAAATATGGGGTATTCACGTATGTACTTACTATTAAACAGTGATATTTCGTGGAGGGTATCCTCAGCTAAAGGTAAGGAGGCTTTCACCTGCTAAGTGTGTCTGTATCATATCAAAAGGCAACTTGTACTGAAAGTTTTTCCTTTAGTCCCTTTTCCACACATGAAAGAAGTCTTTTAGCATGTGGCTCCTCAGCATGCTTTGAAAGCAATAGTTAAGACATTACTTAAAGAATGTTGTGTCACTTGGATGTGAGGGAGGTTCACAGGATCTTTTCTTTTGTTGTTCTGTTCTGCACCTCGTTATTGGGTTACATGATTTATAAAAACCTTGATGTCTTTTCAAAATGCTTCATGTGGGTGGGCAAGAGGCAAATGTTTTTTCTGAATATTTAAACACACAGGATGTTTGACTCAAGCATTGCATTTGATAAAATAATTGCAATACACCTTGTGTGTAACAAACCAGATTAGCAATTAACTCTTGTGGTACATCTCCAGAGCAGCTCATCTCACTGTTTTTGCCTTGCAGTGCTTTAATCTGGGGAAGTGATTTTTGCAGGGTCATTGTGTGGGCATTGACCTCCTGTTCTTTGGGGACTGGTTCAACCCTTGAGAAAAAGAAATTACTATTATTTTCAGCAATTTCCTATAAACTGAAGTGTGGAAAAGAAGCCAAACTTGTGCTACTTTTAGAACACAAGTTCTAAAAAACCCTTTGAGAGATGTTGTCTAACGGAGTTGGTAGCATGCAGGTTATGTGTGGTTGTGTCTGAATAACACCAGCAGAGCTTACTTTTGGCAGTGCAAGGCATCAAAGTGATGCTCACGTTCCTTTTAACCACGCAAATACACCACAGTGTATTTGAAATACACTTTTTTCTTTTTTTTCAATCTGCCTAATTTATTGTCCAATGCCACAAGAAATCCTATCCAAAAAGCGTCATATTTACCCAATTGCTAAAGAATAATAATTTTACTCTGACACACTGATGAAGTGTTGTGTCATGCCCTATTTTGGCCTGCTGAAGTTCAAGAATAGATTGCCTAAATTTGAAGTGTCAATGTGGGATATTTACCAATAGCTATTTCAGAAGTTTTTATGGTTTGTGCATTTTTTTTTCTTTGTGAAAGAATGAAGAATAAATGGATGACATAAATGAGCAAAATTTTTAGTATACTGTTGCATGACATGAATAAAAAATGCTTCTCGCCGTGACTTGAAATAGCTGAAAACAGGATACAATTAATGCAGTTAATATAAATTAGGTATGGTAGCTGAAGGATTAGATCTACTTAAATTAATTGTAAAGGGATAATTACTGTTCCAAATATAATGGCCTATGCTTTTTAATCTTTGATAGATCTTTCCCTGGTATTTTTTTGTAGGTATATATATGAACATTAATAACTGGTCCATTTTCAAGTTGCCGTATTTTAATATGAAATATGATGTTTCTAAACAGTTTACTTCTGAATTTTATCTATTGTGGGTCATATTTCTCTTAAATTTTCAGGGAAATATGTTTCATAAGGGAAATAATTGTTTGTTTGGTTTGGGGTTTTTTTGTTTTGGTTTGGGTTTTTGGAAATTTTTTTTTGCTATTGGTTATAGCTTTATGTCTTTTAGTCATTTAAGAATGGTTGTTTTTCTGTGGATTAAGTGTCTTAATAATAGAGGAGAGTTAAATCCAGGAAAATTGAGACTTTTTGCATGGTAGCACATGCATGTGTGTAGACATGAATGTTAGATATAGTGTGTGAAAGCATCTACTCAGCTATTTATAGGGTCAGCTCATGGAAAAAAATGTATCCTGCTTTTGATGATAAATTATAAACTGAAAACAATATATATAATACATGTATACTTCCCAAAAATATTTTTCGCATCTCAGTTTTGTCAAAATTAGTTAAACACAAAAATAATTGTAAAATGTAATTAACTCTAATATAAATAAACCAGGGGTTGTATCTACAGTTTTGATTAAAAAAAAAGAAAAAGATAGAAATCAAAGGATTAAGGGGAAAATGTGGTAGATGATTATAGTTGCCTTTATTTTCTTCTAAAGAGCAGATAGATTTCAGGATGCCAGTATTCCTCATTATAGCACTTCTGGCTTTGCTATTTTATTGCTTAGTAGGTCCCCTCATTTTTAGTGTTACCATAACTTTGCTGTCTCATTGTTCCTTATGATCCTTCTGATTCAGGGTGCAGAATAGAAAACTGCGACTCCTGCTTTAGCAGAGACTTTTGTACCAAATGCAAAACTGGCTTTTACTCGCACAGAGGCCGCTGCTTTCGAGGATGCCCTCCTGGATTTGCAGCCTTGGAAGAGCTTATGGAATGTGTGGGTGAGTCTTCTAGCACAGCAGTGCTGCTGATTTAGCTCTTTTGATGACTGGCCAGGTTCAAATATGGCACTATTTTTAAGGTGGTGCTTGGTATTTCTTATCAGGAAATATTCACTAATGAATTGTGTCTTGATTTCTTTATTAGTACTATTATTAAATTTTTCTAAACTTTAAAATGCTGCATTATTGGGAATGCCACTCTGTTGTGGATCAGAAAGTTCTATCCTTTAATTTGTAGAATCACTTTGTATGAGGATTTGTAA